TTTGTGCGAATCACAGGGAATGGTAACTATAAACATCCTGTATTCATTAAAACCATCTAAAAATACAATTTTGGGGGGGGTTGGGATGGGGGGGGTGTGCTCACTTCCTCGCCGCTCCTCCTCGGTGTATACAAGCGGGCCGTGTTATGCCTGGTGCCGCTCATATTTACATATTTATAAATACTGGGCTGTACAATGAGACGGGGCTGTGCCAAGAACAACACTTTCTGCTAGTGGGGCTCGGATGCCTGAGAGAGGGAACAAAGGAGCCACAGCCACCTTCAGTGGCTCGACTCTACACCCTTGTTGAAGTCCATATGGATAAAGATGATGACAGATGATGAACTGCAATTTTTTTTTCTCTCGCTCTTTTGCATGAGACTGCCATTTAACACAACTTTTAATAAATATCTGCTGCTCCTTATTCAGTGGAGGAGAGAGTTTCCTCTGCAGCTTCAGGACAGAGCAACCTGCCTCAACCTGCCTCAGCCTGCCTTCAGTAGCTTTATTTTACCACCAGTAGGGGTTCCTGACCTTCATGACTCTTGACCCGCTTGTCACCAGTTGCATATGCTTAACAGTTGTCACCAGTGCCTTCCAAGAATTATAGTCTTCCCACTTCTCGTACATAATTTTAAAGATTTGAAGAGGTCAAACATTCACAAGGGGAAAAAAAGCAGATATAAATGTGAAAAATCAACAAACAGAGGAATTTTAGTTTTTATGCTTTTTCTGCTGATCCTCAAATGTATCATGTGGCCCTTTATGGGGTCCTGACCCCAGGTCAGGAACCACTTCTCTAGTGGTCTCTATCCAAGCAGTTATCAGAGATATCTGTGTCTGAAATTTCTGCCTCCAGAGCTGAATAGAACTGAAGTTGTGGTGATTACAGCACTGACAAAAAGAAGAATTCAGCACCACTGTGTCTTTCCAAAAACAATATTCTTATTACTCTGGATAATCCACAGAACTCGCTTTGAAGAGTTTTCACAGAACTATTTTCTGGAACTAAAGATATGATAATAAACGGTTGACAGTGTGTTTCGTGGATTATCCGGAGTAACAGGAACACTGTTTTAACAATGCTGTGAGCACCACAAACAAAATTCTATTGTATCCGAGTGGAGACAGAAATCTCAAAGACAGATTCCTCAAAACTTTCAGCATCTTACTGTATGATGCTGTTTCCAAAAGCTTGAATTGCAGCTGAGCATAAAATGTCCGCTGAGGGTAAGTTTGGTCCATTTCAAAATACCTATCAGCCTTCGAAAATCTATATTAGTTTAACCCTAATGTGCATCAAAAATAGAACAAATAAAGTGGGAAACTGCTGAGACATAAGCACCACAATCCTAAGTCATTTGTTAGAGCTTCAGTATCGACAAATGCTGCACAAATGTGCCACAGTATCCGTCTCAAGAATCGCAGGGTGTTGCGCTGCAAAATGCCAGCTTCCACTTGGTGAGTGCCTGTTGTGTGATGTTTTCACAGACTGCTATTAATGTGAGGTGATGCCTCTGAGACCACACACTCACACTTACTCACGCACACACACACAGTCCACCGTATCCCAAGGCGGTCTCCGACACATGCTCAGAGTGCAGTGTTATGCCATTGTTCCATCCTCCTTCCCATTTATCCATTCTGTTAAGCATGACACATGTATTAACAGTGGATGGATCCTGGAGCTGTGTGTCCTCACACCATATGTTTTCTTTTCCCGGGCCCTCTCCTCTCCAACAACCACCACTGTCTCCGTCTGCCGTCTCGCAACGCACCACAAGAGGGCACGCTTGCTCTTTCATGCAGTGTTGGAAGAGTGTTGTAGAGATAATGGGCTTGTACTGTAGATTGCCATACTGCTGTTCCTTAGCTTGAATATGAGTGAATAATGGTGAGACTACATAGATTGAGACAGATTTTTATCAATATCATTCTGCCATCTTGTTGCACACTGTCTGCATCGACCCCTAAGAAGGGCAGAATCTTTGAAGGAAACAAATAAATAAGCCTTGCATGCAGCCTCCCTGTGATAAATGAATGCCAGGCAGGTTTTCTGTGTCTGTGAGGTGCATCTGCCGCCTGCCCGAATGGGAAATTAAAAACTGCGAGCGGAAGTTATGCTAAATCTATAAAGTTGGCCGGGAAATTTCTCCCCCTTCGCAGCGGCAGTTGTTTGGGGAGAAGGAGCACCGTGCTTAAATAATAACATTCCAGGTGGCTTAGTTAATGAACAGTGAAAATCAAATATGGAGCCTAATCTGGAGCTCGTTACAGGAAGTTTCTTTACAGGGAAGTCAAAGGCAGGAAGTGCCCTCGGGGAGAGACGAGACACTTTTTGAAGCTTCAAAACAAGGAAACTTTTATCTTTGATGTATTTTAGTTGTGGTGGCTTTTGTACATAGAAATAAAAAAAGTCATAGTATATGTTTGGGACATGGACTAAAGAGTGGTGTTTAATGGTGGCTTCTTACACTTTTTCAGTAAGAGTATTTAGGTAAATTATCATCTCATTCAGTTATGACTTTTTATAAAGAAATTCTGAATCTCCACCAGAGGACACGATTGGTCCAAATGTGTGCAGAGGAATGCTCAGATATCTATACATAAGCCTCAATATCTTATTTACTGTCTTAGCTTGCCATCTTGTGGTGAAAGTTGGTTATGGAATCCTATCGTTCACTGGTAAAGAATTAGAATCTGAGATGTACTGCAAATTTGATAGTTAATTAAGCAAAAAGAGACTAACCCTTCAATGTACATAGCTGCACGCTCACACCTCGTCATGTTAATGTTGCTTTGTGTGATCTAGGATACTATGAGTGTACATTAGGAATTAGATTTGATCTTATATGTTCCAGTTTTTCAATCCACATTTCTACCAACATCATTAGAATGAAATAAAGCTATTTGTAATTATTCTCTGGTGTCAGTGGAACCATCTGAAGCGAGCAACCTGGAGCATTAAAAGCATTTGAGACATACAGTAAAGTAAATGTTGGTTGCAGGGATGCAGGGACTGTTCACTTCATGCACAGACAGCAAGAGAATTATTACTCAGTGCTGAATCTAAGAGATGTTTTATCATGTTATTAGCTCTTTATTTTCCCTCTGTTACGGCGGCACTTCCTTTCATTTCGATATCCATTTCCGTCCTTGCGAAAGCACAGCTCAAATAAACCCGTGTTTTAATTTGGTTTTGTCAGATTCATAACGCCACTTTAAAAGAACATGACATGCAAATGTGTTCGGCGGTGTTTTATTGCAAAATAATTTTCTAAGAAGTTGCTGAGGGAATGAAAGTGGAGAAAAAGGAGGGGGGGTTGGGGGATGGGGACAAGTTGTATTATTTAGTGGCCGCTGCTGTGGGACCTAATTACAGTTATGCATTTGTTACTGTCTCACCGAGTCTTAAAACTTTTTTTATTAGAATTGCTCACTTCACTTCTCACCCACTGTCACACTTTCCCCGTCACACTTACTGAGCCGACCAACTTGCTTGTAACAAGTATGAAACTACTCCACTTGCCATAACCATAATGTGTTACAGTGACGTCTCATATCGTTTCAGAAACGGTCGTTTTCACTGAGCACCCTATCACAGTCTTGTGATCGTAAGTGCCGGTGTACAGGAGATACAAAAATAAACTGATGAAGAAATAAATGGCAGATTTGTACAGTGGATGTAGCGATTTAATGAAAGCTCTGCTGACCTTGCTTACATGAAGACCAACGTTTTCGTTGATAATACCATACTTAAGGTGATAGGGTGTAAGAAAATATCAATACACTTCACGACATTATTATGTTTTCTGATATCTGTATCGATTCTCAAAAACACAGTATGGATTTTGAATTAATAGTTTACATGCAAATATTTGTGGCAGTTCCCTAAAATATAATTTTTTAAACAGGCAATATATCACAGTATCGCAATATATTGAATCATAACTCGGTATCGTGATAGATATCATATTTCCAGATTCATTTCCAGCCCTGGCGTAGATAGTAGACAGGGTGGATTGAATAACAGGAAAACCCTTGAATGCAACGCAAACTAAAATAATTCTGCAATAAGAAGGTTACACAAGATGTGAATTTATGGACATGGGAATTGTGGTAATTATTGTATATGAATGTATTTAATTTGAAGGTGTTCCTGTTATTTTGTCCTGTATGTTTGGATACTAACATCAGTATATTCATTAACAACACAACAGATGACAGTAAAACTCTGTAAAAGGAAAAAGGTTTTTCTGTTGCTAGTCCTAGTTTTTTCTGTTTTTTCGTAAAAATTGATACAGCTCAAACATTTTAAAGGGTCAGCTCACTGAAATACATTTTTTTTGCCTATCTCTAGCAGTGCCTAGCCATGCTGATACTTTTGGTTTCATTTGTCCAGGATTAGAGTTATCCATCTTTGATATTTCAGCCACCACAGCAATACAAAGGACATTTAATTAATTTTGTTTGTGGGAAACTTGTCTTTAAAAACCAAAACAGTGTCCCTGTAAATCTGGATAATCCAAAGACTTGTCGCTAAGGTAGTTTTGACTGGGACCACTTTATACCAAAGAAATAGTCCCTATGAAAACTGTTGACAGTGAGGTCTTTGGATAATCTAGTGTACATTTTAAATTATTTATTTTTTTTAGCTGTGAGCACCACAAACAAAATTCTATTCACCTCAGACACCCAGAACCTGGACAAATTAAATCAAAACTATCTTTCAGATTAAGTGCAGGTAAGTGAGAAAATACATTTCCTTCTATAATTTGAGTGAAATGACCCTTTAAAGTAAAAAAAAGCTGGCAGTCCTCCATCCATCCATTTGGCCATTTGGCTATCCCACTATGATGCAATGATGCCAAGGTTTCTGTGTGTGTGTGTGTGTGTGTGTGTGTGTGTGTGTGTGTGTGTGTGTGTGTGTGTGTGTGTGCTGCAGGGTGGGTGTTGGGTCCGTGGTGCTAATCTGCCTCTTGTTCTCTCATTGGCCGTAGTGCATCTCTGGGTAGGAGAGGAGGACCAGCCCATGACCCATGACCCCGCGCTGACCCACGACCCCAACCATCTTAACAACGACCTTAACCACCCTAACAACCATAACCTAGGCGACCCCGAGGGGCTGGACGCCCACGCTGTAAACAAAGACTAACGGCCAGCACCGGAGCAAGGCAGGATGATGAGGATGATGGTGAAGGCGATGATGATGATGATGATGAGGAGGATGAAGGATAAATGAAGGAATACACTATAACAAAGACTTTATTTAAGATGAAAAAAAAAAACACATACTACCGTCAGAGTCAAGAGAAGGCGAGAACTATATGAAGGAAAGTTCGGGACAGTTTTCCTTTGGGGACGGATTTTGCGAGATGGACCTAATGACTTTTGCAAGCGTCCTCGGACGCTAAACAAAGTGACGGCAACTTTCCTGTGTTGTCTCCTGTGGTCTGAATGCCCCTTGTCTTCGTTGTCTTTTCTCTTATACAATGTTTATTTTGTTTTTGGTTTTCTTTTGATGAAACTACCTGTCTGATTAGCACTTCCTGTAACTGGCACCGCAATCTCTGATACATTCCTTGAGCTAGAAAGGTGTGTCTTTTTTTAAATTAGGACTGAAGTGTAGTACTTAATCAAATGCTTTCAAAAAGACTTTTTCTCTCCTGTTAAATGAAGAAGACAGTTATTTCCACGTCCACGGACCACCATTGTATTGTACCTGGAATGTATTCTACTGTAGAATAGAAACTCAACTTTACCGGACTGTTGACAGAGACCAAGCACACTACCTGTCACAACAGCCACTTCTGGCTCTCCTATCAGCTGTCATAGACTCACTATTTATGTCCCATGACCATGCATCACACTGATTATGGTTGATAAAGGACAGGGCACCATATGACAATCTGCAACACAAGTTGGTTTCCAGAAATAATGTGGTATCGCTGGTAGAAAAACAGTTGACTCTCGATGATGGTGGTGCTAATGATGATTGTGAAGGAGGCCGAATAATCAAACTGCCCTAAATGTACTTATAATACTATATCCCCCCTCCATAACCAGGTCGGTACAGGCCTTCACCCTGCTATATGGCTCCCTTTGTCTTTTTTTCTTCTTCTGTATCATTCAACACGGCGCCCATAGACGCTTAATGTACATAGAGAGATATACAGTAGTCAAAAAAACAGTGAAAACTAAAGTTTTAAAGCGTTTGTGACGAGGAGAAGCAAAGACAGTAGTTTACACGGCCACGGAAAGGTAGGCATTCTTCTAGAGTTTGACAGAGAAGAATTAAAAAAAAAAAAACAGATCTCAAAAACAAAAAAGAGGGGGGGGGACAGTTTCTTTCTTTATCGCCCTCCACTCGTTTCTCTTCATCGCTCATGTCAACCTCAAGGACTTCTAGTGTTGCAGATGTTTCTGAAATACTGCCACTGATCATTGTTGCACAGTGTTACTGACTACTGAAAATGGTTTGATGTATTTACTTTAAGATGAGAAAAAAAAAAGAACAAAAAACTGGAAAAAAGACATATTGTGTATAGCCTTAGATACAAGTCATCTGTTATTGCTTCTACAAAGCTATGTAGCTGTGCTAGACCGTAGGACGTAGGGTTGATTTTATTTTGGATTTTTATATGTACTGTACATTAATGCCTTCTCCATTTACTGATCAAAAAAAAGAGGAAAAAGATGACAATCGTCTCCTGTGCTGAAAACATATTTGCCCCCATATATACAGAATCCATTATGCATAGAGGGACTTTATCCTTTCTTATTTCTTTCATTTGTTTTGGTTCTCAGAAGTATTTTGCACTGTGATAGTATTATAAATCCAACCTATACAGTACAAAACTAGCTAACTAACTAAACTGAAGGTGTGTGTCTGTGTGTCCCTTGGCATTGTGAAATGTTTCTACGTCATTTTTTGTGAACCCAGAGAAAAATTCTAATGCGGTATGTACAGTTCAAATATAATACTTCTTTATTTCAGTTCGATCAACCTCTATACTGTATGTGGCTTTGACAAATTGTTACCCAGATTTCTTTTGTATGCTAATGCCCCCTTTGACCTGCAGCGTAGGCCTGTCACTGCTTCAGCCTGAGTGATTTCCAGTGCTCAAATTCCAACTTGAGGAGATTTTGCCGCAGTACAGCCTCTGATTTTTGTTTCCCCCCATTTTAATTTGATTTATGTAGATTACAATTAACCATTCTTTCAATTTCAATATGCCAGGAAAAGAGGGGATTCAAAAGTAAAATAACAAGAGTGAGACATGAAAAGTGAGAAGTAATGGTTGTAGGGAAATATAACAGGGTGTCTGAAGGGAGGAATTCTGGAAATGGGGTCTGAGTAAACCAATCAGACGTATCCTGCCGGAGGCACTGACCGATGGCTTTGACCTCTGACCCTATCTGTTTTCCAGGGGTGCAAAGATGAGAGATTAATGGCGAGAGTCTCGCTTGGGCTCTCTCCATCTCTGAACCAGCTATAATGAGCATTCCACTCCACATATTATGTACAAAACCTGTCTTGTGAGCTGAACACTCTTTATGTTTCGCTGTACCCTCATGGCAGATGCTTCGTTTTGTAACTACTGAACTGTACTTATAGTAAAAATAAAATGTATTCAAACTAAAAAAAAAAAGGATTGTCACAGAGCAACGGCCTGTTTCATGTTTTTAATTTCTTCATTTCTGACAGAGCGAGACTCAGGAGGGCGTGTCGGCAAGCGTCGCTGTGTGATCAGAAGTGGGTAGACTATTTGGAGAAGTAGTCCATCAGCCCAACACAAGCTATTATCTCTGTCAATGTGATGGCAAAGCTTCACGGGCTGTGATCATGATGTCGAATACACACAACTAAATAACTGCCTGCACCACTTTGTCTCCCAAAGGTGCTCTTATAGTAGCTGTAGTTGAACAATATGGATGATGAGAAACACGTGAGCATGCTCAGAGCGTCAGACATGGCAAAATGCAGGCAGGGAAGATTCAGTAATTTCAATGACAGAATATGACATACGTATATGACATACATGATCAGAAACGTGTGCAGGGTGTATGATGCATATTTGTCTCTTCCCTCATCTCCATCTCCCCATCCAGTTTCTGTGTTTCCAGGTTTTCTTTTTGACATTGAGTGCCTGCATCTGCCGTCTCTGTCTGTTCTGGTCCATGCAACTTTGGACCAGTCCTCCCTTGTATACCACTCTTTCAAAACATATTGTTTAAACTAACAACAGCTATAATTCATCTATCAAGACTAAAAACCAGTTGTAGATAAAATGGACTACTACTCAGTGGACTGTTACTAGCAGATGCACATTAGGTTGTTGCACACAGGTTGCAAATATACAGAGATCAAGGAAATATTTACTGGTGGAAGTAAAATGTTGATCTTAAACTAAATTAGCAATATAACAATGGAAAAAAAGTATAGCTATATTATCAACAACAGGGCTTGTACCTTTGTAACTTTTTTCACCACTGTCCCAAAGTAAATGCTGGCAGCCCTACTTAAAGTATAAAAGGCTTTTGTTTCAAATTATTTTGATAATTAAAAGTGATGCATAACAAAAACTAAAATACCATGAAAATGATTCAATCATAAATTGCAAAATTAATTGCATTCATTCAATTGATAAACATTTTTTTTGTAGCAGTGTGTGTGTCACAGTAGTGTAGCGCCCCAACATTCATTTTTACATTGTCTCTGATCCTTTTATTCCCATCTACGAGATGTAGAGATACCCTTGAGTTAGGGGCCTGAATAGGCACAAAAAAGTCGTAGAAGTAAACACATTCATTATGCAGAAAATTAGTGTGCATGTATCTTACCTGGGAACTACCATAGTCAGGGGTTTGCTCGGCTTACTCAGTTTACAGCGGAACATTGGCTGCCACATGCTCTTCAGCCTGAAGCTGAACTAAATTTAAAGCTGCAGTAAGTAACTTTTGTAAGAATAACTTTTTGTCATATTTGCTGAAACTTTGACTATATCCTGACTGTAGTACATGAGACAGACAGTCTGTGAAAAAATAAGGTTCCTCTGGCTCCTCCTAGTGCTCCTAATGACATTTGCAAGAATCTACCAGGCCTGAACGAAAACAACCAATCAGAGCTGAGAAAGATACAGAGAAACCTGATTTTTTCATAGATTATCTGTCTCATGTACTAGAATGACTAAAAATAGTGACCCTTTTGTTTTTATTTTTCACTACATATACAGTATATTGCATATCCACTACTTACTTTAAACACAGGTTAGTATCAATGTGTTGCTATGTTTTTGATGTGTGTTCAGTACTGCTGTAGCGAAGATCAATACGATACAGCCCTTCTTTACTTTTTTTCATACTGTAATAAACCGGTCAGTGAGAGTGGCAGTTGTTATTTCCTTGACTTTTTAAAATCAATTTAATATCTGAGTCCAGAGGCACCTTTTTAAACATGCGCTGTTATGGTATTTACAATAAAAGAAACAAAGTGATTACAAACTACAGCCAAGATTCTCACATGTTTAAACCTTTTAACAAAGTTCAAATGGTCACTGAGGACTTCATTTTGAAATGCAATTATGAAAAATATTTGTCAGGCAATAATTAGTATTGAAGGCAGCAATATAATATAATCCTGTTTATCTGGGTTGGGAGGGTTACTTTAAAAATGTAATCTGATACAGTTAGTAATTACATGTTCCAAAATGGAGTCAGTAACCTAATGCAAGTATCACAATATTAAAGTAATGGAACTTCATTACTTTCTGTTACTTTTGGATTATCTCAACCAAATATGTAACAAAAAAAAAGAAGAAGAAAAAAGTAATGTCAATAAGAAGTAGCCTATTTTATATATCACTTATACTTATTCTATAAGAAAACAGAACAGTGTAACCTTAGGAAAGAAATGCAAATGGAAAAATTGGAAATACTTTCAGCAGGAAACATGTTTCCTCTGTTCAGTGTGCTTAAAAGAAAAACTGATGTATTTGAAAATTGTAGTCTGCTTAGAATCCCTATTTTTACTAAATGTAACTGTAATCAAATTACTTTGTTTTTCTGTAACTGTAATGGATTACAGTTACACTTTTTTGTATCCTGATTACATAACTCAACTCATAAGTTGTAATCAGTTACTTCCCTGACCTGCTGTTGATGCCACAGACCATGATAATCAGGGTCTATGGACGCAGTTTACACTTAGTTGTACAAAATGTCTTCATACACTGTGTTGCTTTTCCTTTGTTTTTTGTACTTACATAATTGAAAATGTATATTGTCAAAAGAAGCACAATCAGCAATAATCAGAGATTTCAGGCAGTAAATCACTTCTTTTGGCCTTAAGAGTTTGTTAAACTGGGTTTATCAAAGTGTTCAAGGACAGGCAGAAATCAGTGTCAGTTGATTGTGGGTCAGAGTTGAAGGAATCTCCTCAAAACTGTTATAAGGTGTGTGTGTGTGTGTGTGTGTGTGTGTGTGTGTGTGTGTGTGTGTGTGTGAGGATATGTACTGTGGGTGCAAAACATCATAAACTCTCATAACAAAAAACACCAACAAATCTTCCACACATCAAAAGTTTCCTCCCGCGCTGCTTTTCAAAAGAAGAAATATCAGCCAGTCTCATTGACCCCCCTCCTCTGCTGTCTGAAACCTGATCCCGCGCCGCACTGATGGAATCCGTATTTGGGTTAACCTAACGCCAGGACCCCAACGGCTGCTGAGCCACTGGGAGGCTGCCCAGGTCAATGCCTGACTAATTTTTAAACGGATCAGCTGCACCGCACCAGATGTGGGGGGCCTCCTGCCACGAAGTCTGTTCCCAATAAAAATCACATCCGGAGAAAGTAACTGTTCGACTGGTTTATATCTACAAACACACACACACACACACACACACACACACACACATACTCACCGCCAAGGATGTTTCAGATGGCTGGATGTGAGACTCAGTAGTAACAATCAGGATATTACTTGCTCTGCCTGTTTGTGTGTGTGTGTGTGTGTGTGTGTGTGTGTGTGTGTGTGTGTGTGTGTGTGTGTGCGTGTGTGTGTACAGTGTGTGGATCATGTACTGTACATTTTGGGTGCATGTGTGTGTTTGTGTTGGTATGTATGTCATTCCTACATTTGAGTAGGTGTGTGTCTCTGTGTTACAGTGCACATGTGTCTGATTAAAGAACACATTAGGTCATCTTTCATTCCATCCGGCCTGTCGTGTGTGTAGGTGTGTGTGTGTGTGTGTGTGTGTGTGTTGCTGTTCAGCTGAGCAATTTCTACATTTGAAGCGACCTCTTTCACAGTGTGATGAACACCGCTCTTTGCCCTTCATTTAACTTCCTCTATTGTCATTGTCTCTGTCTCTCTCCCTGTCTTTCAACTCTCTCCTCTCTCTCTCTCTCTCTCTCTCTCTCTCTCTCTCTCAGTATCCATTTCCTCTCATTTCCCTCCATGGCGTGTCATGCAGCCGTGTGCGTGAGTGCATGTTTGTGCATGCATGCTGGCGTGTCGTGCTATCGTCTGCATGCCCGCGCGCCTGCGTGTGGATTGATATGTTTAAGATGACGCTCTGCAGCGGTTGCAGTGGTGCCAGCGTTCGGTTGGTCGCTGGGCAGATGGTGACCTGCAGATGAACTTGTCTTTCTGCTCATTTGTTCAGCTGCCTCTAATTTCCCCTCCTCCTTTACATTAGAACTGGCTGAGGTCTTGTGTTGCAGCTCTCGGGCTGGACCACCAGAGGGCACAGCAGACCAGGTTTTGGCGCCTGGCTGGCAGCGGGGTATGGCCCTCCTCTGAGGAAGTTGCATGTTGCATTGCAGAAAGAGACAGTGAATGTCATTGAGTGTGTTAAGGGAATGTGGGGGTTTTACCAACCTTGTGTTGTTAAAATTGAATTACTTTCAGGCAAAGTTGCAAATAAACAGATAATTTATCATTTCCCCATCAGAATGTTATTCGAGGATGTGTGTTGAGGGCTTTGAAGCAGCATTTAATCCTTCATTCAAAGACAAAATAACTGATCAGTTAACTGGGTTATTTAAATAAACTCACCACAAACTCAATAATAAAAATATTTTAAAAAGTCCAACAATATAATACAGTTTGAGACTTTATTTTTGGCTACAAGGGACTTGGACTTTCAGAATCCTGGCTCTGCCTTCCTCCTCAGAGGGTCAGAGAAACACTCCAGCAGCTAGCAGGGACTTGGCTTCTTGCTCATGGGCACTTAACAAACTACATTATGTGTTGTGGTTTTGTGCATGTGATGGTTCCAAAACTAATTCTAAAATAAATGATGCTATAATAAATAAATATGCGCTGTCACATGCATTAAACTACTGATTTGTACAACTTTTTTGCTTCATACACAATACAGCCCTGACACTAGACTATGTTGTATAGTACAGAGTACAGAGTAAGTGGTGCTGACACAATTTGTTAATCAAAAGAAAATGTAATGCCAAATTGTGTCTGATTCTAGCATCTTAAATGTGAGAATATTCTGCTTTTCTATTTTTATATCACAATAATTTGATTATCCTTAGGTTTTGGACTGCTGGTTGGAGTCTGCGAATATGTAATCACTATTTTTTGACATGTCATTAACCAAACAATTAATGAATTAAGAAAAGAACTGGTAGAATGATCGATAAAAAAGCAACT